ACATAACAAGCTCCTCATATTTATAGGTATGAAAGGGAATACAAAAAGACACTAACAATGAATTCACATAGGAATTCTAAACATCACAAACCATTAAAACCCCATTGCTTTTCACGAAAAAACATCTCAAGCCCAAGAACCGAAGGAGCAGCCGCGGGAGCCAAGGAGGCCGCACGGAACCAAGGCTCCAAAGCCACGGGAAAACCCCCCTAACTCGGAAAACCAACAGCCACCGTGGGAACCAAGGAGACTTCACGAAAATCAGCCACCCGTGGAAGCCAAGGAGCCAAGGCATGGGAAAACAAAATAAATCTTGGGATTCCAAAAGCCATTTTGGGATCACAAGAGACAACTTTAATTTAAGATAAAACATTAAATAAAAAGCTACATAAATACAATAATAAATGAACTAAAATCTAGCTAATAATGAGTTAACTCTTAGTTCAATAAATGAACTAAAAATCAGCTCATAAATGAGCTAAATTGCAGCTCAAATTTTATTGTGCTTGTAAACTCGAGGGAGGCCAAAATTGATTTATTTTGGACATGATCTATTTGGAAAAATTATGTTTGTAATTTTCCCCTAGTTGTATTCTAGCCGTCATTGTGACACTATTTATATATTTAGATGGTCCATTAAAATATTTCACATTTCTTAAACCCTGTGAGATTAGAATTGGATGATGGGGACAGGATTTACGACTTAGCATAATTTGAATAGAATGCTTGGTAAAGGAATGCAATTGTTGAGAAAAATGAAGACTAAGAAAACACCAACAAAGTAAACTGAAGAAGTTAGAAAGTAACTTAAGAGTGTTTATAACTTTCTGGAGAATAGGTGAATAATAGAACAATGAGGAAACTTTCACTTGAAGAGTTGAAATTCCCTTTCCTGTTAAGCGCTGATGTTGCCTCCAGATATTTTTTCTGATTGTACTTCTCCATTTTGAACGGAACCTTCTCTCAACACAAGATCTAAAGTTCTGAACCCGCAAAGTTCTCTTAGAGCAATGTAATTGTAAGTAAATAATCCATGTTCATAATTTCAGATGAATGGATTTTTATCAAAATTTGTTGGTAAGTTTATGTTCGCTTAAAAAATCAGCTCTCTGCTTAAAATTCGTATTCGCTATTACTTAAACCATTCGAAATTTCCAAGATTGTTATTATCTTTCTTAATTTCTTGTTTTATATCTGGCCTGTGCAAAATGAAACCTTCGTTCTCTCTACGAGAATTTAATGAAAGCCTTTCGTTTGTTTTAGGTGCATAACTTACAAATTTGTTTCTCTATGCAGTATAAATGGATGAAGAAGATAACTGAGCAAGTGAAACAGCTCGCAAAAAATGAAGATGAACAACTCTCAATGACAAGATCGTATGATGTGCTTCCTCCATATGACCAAGCGAAGGCACTGGGGAAAATTAACATTGATGTAGATCGCATTGCTGCTGGATTGCCTTGTGGAAGTGAAGGGTTTCTCTTAATGTTTGCCCGCTGGAAAAAACTTGAGAGAGACCTATACAATGAACGCAAGGAGTATGTTACCAGACAAAACCCAAAGATATGACATTCTGGTTAATAGTCAATTTTTTCAAAATGTATAGTTTACATTGATAATCTTGTATTAAAGAGACGTATTCGTTATTTAATTTAAAGAATTTACCCTTTTTCTTGGTAGTTTCAAGTCTTAAAAATTGATTTACCTGTTTTTTCATCAAGAACAAATTCAACTGATGTTATTGATTTTAATTGCAGCCGGTTTGATATTACACAAATTCCAGATGTCTATGATTCTTGCAAGTAAGAAGTTTTTATTTCTTTTGTATTTTGAATTTCTGAAATCTTCCTTTTGTTACTACAGACTTTTGACGTCAAACGAGAGTTTTACCCTTAGGAGCATTCCTCCTCATGCATGCTAGAAAATTTTATGTATGAGATTTTCAAATAACTCAGTTGGCCTCAAAGGGAACTATATTCTAGAAGTTTCTCTCTTCTCTCCTCATGTGTCAAAGAATTGATTGGCTACCTTTTATTTTCTTGTGACTAGATGGAAAGGTTTAAGGTTAGATAGTTGATATTAGAATTGTCAAAATTGTTTTATCAAAAACATCACAAGGATCAACCATCTTTTGGGATAACACCAGTTAAATAGTGATCATGATCTTGATCATGGAGAGACAAGCTACCTTCGTATATGTTAAATAATAGTTATGATTTGACAGGTGAAATAAGAGTAAACTCAATCAAGATCTATAGTTCCACTATCTCAAGTTGTTATGAACAGATACGGTCAAAGAATATTTTTTAGCAACTATGGCTTTTTGTGTCGTTCTGTCAC